GTGATGTTCAGGGCCTCTCCAACTAGCGGGACGACAAGGGATGTGAAGGCCGGGCCGTTGTCAGTCTGGATAGACACCGGTAGTCCAAAACGTGGGATGATGTGACTGAGGAGTATCATGGCTACTGTTTTGGCCATTTCACTGGTTGTGGGCAGAGCTTCAATCCAGCCTGAAAAGGTATCAACTAGAGTGAGGATAAATTTGAATTTTTTATGGGTGGGCATGTGGGTGAAGTCAATCTGCCAGTCCTCAGCTGGCAGGTGTCCCCTTAGCGGATGGGTGGTCTGACGGGGATGTAGCCCACCCTGCGCATTTGTGGCTGCGCAGATGGAGCAGGCTTTGTGGACAGCTATGATGGATTGTTTTAGGGCAGGTAGAAAGAATAGAGGCTGTAAGAAGCGGTGCAGTGCTTCAGGGCCTATATGAAGTGAGTCATGAATTTCTTTGAGTATCCGTTGCGCCTGGGTGGAGGGTAGGGCTATGAGATTGTTAATGGTTATCCATCCCTGAGGGGTTAGCTTCCCACCCTTATCCAGGAGACATTGCCGCTCATCTGGGGAATATTGTGGCTGTAAAGAGGGGGAGAAGAAGAGTGCCGTGGCCTCTGCAGGTGTCTGAGTGAGACACTGAGCTATGGCATCCGCTCTTGCATTTCCCCGTGCTACCCGGTTTGTCAACTGCTGGTGTCCTCTGCAGTGGATGATAGCGACCTCTGCTGGGAGCTGTAGGACATTTAAGAGTTTGTGGATGAGTTTGGCATTAATGACAGGGGACCCTTTAGTTGTTAGGTATCCCCACTCTTTCCAAATTGCAGCGTGGCTGTGGGCAATAAGAAGGCATATTTAGAATCCGTGTAGACGTTGACCCGCTTGCCTGCAGCCAGCTGCAGAGCCCAGGTGAGGGTGATGAGCTCAGCCTTCTGGGAGGTTGTACCTTCTGGGAGATTTTTTGCCTCCACCGTTGTGGTAAGGGTTACTACAGCATATGCCGCTTTTCTTTGGCCCTGTGAGGAGAGGACGGAGCTTCCATCTACGGAGTTAGGTCTGGGTCTGGCAAGGGTTTGTCTAACAGTCCCGTATGAGAGGCGGAGAGCAGGTCGGCTACTTCAGGGCAGGAATGGGATGGGCCTGTAGTCTCCTGTAATGGGAGAAGGGTAGCCGGATTCGGGGGGGGGGGGGGGGTACAAGCCTGCAATTTAATATCAGGGTTTTCGAGAAAGAGGAGGTGGAATTCCTGGATTCTTGAGGGTACGAGGATGTTGAGGACCCGATGGTTTAGGAGGTCTTGGAGCCTGTAGGGTGAACAGACCATGAGCGGTCCATGGAGTGTCAGTTTTAGGGCTTCCTTAGTCAGAGTAGCCGCTGCGGCTAGGGCGCGTAGGCAGGGCTGCCAACCCCAGAATGTCCCATCTAGCTGTTTGGAAAGAAAGGCGATCGGCCTGTAAGAGGGGCCGATTGGATGGGTTAGAACACCGTGGCGTTGCCAAGTCACTCGTCAGTGAAGAGCTGAAAGGTGAAGGAAGGATTTGGGAGGGTTAGGGGCAGCAAGGACTGGAGGGCTGTGCATAGGCGATGGAAATCTCGCGCTACTTCCCCAGGAGAGGTGAGGTCACCTGTGGGGACTTCCTTGGTGGCCTGATAAAGGGGCCTTGCCAAAAGGGCAAAGTTAAGGATCCAGTGTTGGACGAACCCAATGAACCCTAGGAAGGAGAGAATTTCGTCTGCATTCTTCGGAGGTGAGAGGTTTCTCAAGGCCGCTAAGAGGTTGCTCGTCAGAGAGCGAGTAGTTGGAGTCAGTTTTATTCCTAGATAGGTAACCTCCGGGAGGAATAGCTGGGCCCTTTTGGCAGAAACCTGATAACCTCTGCCTGCCAGGAAATTTAGCAGGCGGGTGGTCTGTCGGCGGGAATCCACCTCTGAGGGGCTGCAGAGTAAGAGATCATCTACATACTTCAGGAGAACGGATGGGTTGAGGTGGCATTCTTGGAGGTCTCTAGCTAGGGCCTGGCCAAATAAGTGGGGGCTATCCCTGAAACCTTGTGGTAGGACCGTCCAAGTTAGTTGTTGGGCCATACCCGTATCTGGGTCCTCCCAGGCGAAGGCAAACAGATTATAACTGTCTGGGTGTAGCGGGGAGGGGGTAAAGAAGGCGTCCTTAAGGTCGAGGACGATGAAGTGAGTGGTACCTGAAGGCATTCTGGATAGGAGGGTGTAAGGGTTGGGAACTACCAGGTGTAGGGGGACTATCGCCTGGTTGATTAATCTGAGGTCTTGCACGAGGCGGTATTCCCCCGCTGGCTTACGAACCAGTAGAATCGGGGTATTGTAAGGAGAGTCAGTAGGGATCAGGAGTCCTCAGTCCTGCAGACGGGAAATTAAGGGTTTTAGGCCCTGTCTGTGTTTGAGTGAGATTGGGAACTGAGGATGTCTGGGGAAAGAATTGGGGTCCCGCAGCGGAATTTGGACCGGAGGGTGATGCACAGCTACACTGGGGGAGGAAGTGTCCCATACAATGGGATTTACCTCAGTAGGGGAAATGGGCGGTTGTTGGGTTTGAGAAGGGTGTGTCGCGGCGCAGAGGAGCGCGAGAAGAGTGGAATGTGGGAGGGAAGGTAGGTGGATACTGGCTCCGAGGTGGTGTAGGATGTCTCGACCCAGTAAGGGAATTGGGCAGGAGGGAGTAACTAGGAAGGAGTGTGTAAAAAAGGTTTTTTCAAGTCGGCAGAGTACTGGGCCGGTGGCTAATGGGTGGGATGGTTGGACGTCAATTCCCACTACGGAGACCTGGGAAGGATGTAAGGGACCGGAGAAGGAAGGAAGGAAAGAGTAGGTAGCCCCCGTGTCTACCAGAAAGGTGGTTGACTTACCCGCTACCTGGAGGGTTACCCTGGGCTTGGTGAGGGTGATGGGGGGGTGTCCGATTCTGGGCTTTCTCAATCGTCTACGAGTCCAAGCATTGCAAGATCGAAGGCCGGGGCCTCAGGTCCCTCCCAGCGTAGAGGCGCCGAGAGTGAGCCGGTGGTCCCAGGACAATCGGATTTCCAATGTCCGGCCTTTTTGCACAGTGGGCATGGCTTGCGGGGAGGACGAGGGTTGGGGCAGATTTGGGCCCAGTGGCCTTCCTGATCACATTTGTAGCAGCGTCTTGGAGGAACGCCGCCTTTTTTTGGGACCCCCTTTCTAGCCGCTGACCTCAGGGTGGCCACCAGGGCCTGGGCTTGGAGGGTAGCTGCCTCCTTGGCCTGCTGTTGGCCGGCTACCTCTGCGTCTTCTTCGCGGGAGTTAAAGACTTTAATTGCCATGTTTACCAGGTCCCGTACCAGAGTTTGAGGACCCTGTTCTGCCTTTTTAAGCTTCCTCCTGATGTCCGGGGCTGACTGAGTGATAAAATGGGTCGCTAAGACCACATCCCCGGCAGGGTCTTCAGGGGAGAGTCGGGTATGGAGCTGCATGGTCTCCGTAAGGCAGCTTTGGAAAGTGGTTGGGTTTTCGTCTTTGTCCTGAGTGATTTCCCTGAGTTTGTCATAGTTAACTACCTTCTGAGCCACCCTTTCCATGCCTTCTATAAGGCATCGGAGCATGTAATCTTGGAGTCTCCTTTCTCCCTCCCATACAGATATCCCCAGTGGGGGTTAACTAGTGGCACAGCTTCTACTCCTGTTGCAGTGGTGGCATCAGCTATGTGTGCTCGGTCTGCATAGTCTCTTGCTGCTGCTTGGGCTTGGTCATGTTCATCTGCGGTCATGGTGCAAGTTAGAATTATGTGAATGTCATGCCAAGTAAGGTCATAAGCCTGAGAGAGGTATCTGAATTCCTTTATAAATTGGGTAGGGTTAGCAGAAAAGGAGCCTAGCCTCTTCTCTATAGAAGATAGATCAGCTAGAGAAAAGGGGACATGGACCCGGACGATTCCCTCAGGTCCTGCGACCTCTGGGAGAGGAGCTAGCGTCTGGGGGGTCTGAGGGGGAGTCCAGGTAGCAGTGAGGCTGGGGTGGTTTGACCTGGTCCGTCCTGCTATAGGGGACGAAACCAGTGGAGGTTTAGAGTCGTGGTATGAGGAGAAGCGGGAGTGTATGGAGGGGGAGGGGGATTCGACACAGACGGGAGTGGGGGGTAGAGTGCTGCGGGAGTCGGGGACGGTGTAGGGACGGGTGGAGGTGCCGGACCGGGGGTGCTGTGAGCGATTCTGGAGGGATGGTTAGTGCTGAGTCCTCCAGCTCCAGCGGGGGCGAGTTGCCTGTGAGTCACTGATCCGGAACCTGTGGAGTGGAAGCTTTCGGGTCTGTTTTAGCAAGAAGAATTTGGGTGGAAGAGCAGGTCATAGAGAGCTGGGGGCGAGAGCGGAGGTACCAAAAAGCCTGAACATAAGGGATTTCAGGCCATTTACCTGTTCATTGGCAAAAATTGGTTAGATACCAAAATCAAAAGTGCCGTCCTGGGGCCAGATGGAACCATTGTCCAGAGCATAGCGAGGCCATATTTCAGTGGATAATTGGATGAGGCGTCGCTTTCTCTGTTCGGTCTGATCATACCTAATTAATGGCAATTGGAGAGAACACACCCTAAGGATGTGTTGGAGCCCGGCTTGGGGGAATTGCTGCCCATACTGATTCAGGTCCTGGTCGGAGAGGTCTCTCAAACAGGAGTCCCCGGTTGGGAGAGAACTCCGAATACAGACAGAGACAGGGGACAGGCCATCTCGGGGGCATCCCCGCCAGAGAGGCAAATCTGGGGAAGATATCCCTGGGATACCTTACAGGAGGGCCCCTTGGCGCGGCTGCGACTACAGACAGGGGTGCCCTAGGAACACCGAATAGAACAGGTAGAGGCTTACCTCACTGCCAGGCAAAGATCGGTTTGGAGGCCGGCTGGTCTGGTCAGGGAGGTCCTGGCCAAAAGATGTGGCAGACCTCCCGGGTTTCGGCACCAAGATGTAAGGTTTAATCTGAGATGTAAAATTTAATCTGACCGAAGCCAATAAGTTGACCAAGACAAGCAGGGTAAGAGTGAAAAATCGCGTTTATTGAAAGCTTTCGGGTGAGGTCCTGTGGTCCGAGAGCACAGGCTGGGGGAGTCACACCGCCTATGCCTGGCAGAGTTTCTTTATGCTGCTGTTGGACCAATCAGGTTTGTTCATGGTCGCTTGTGGCAGATGATTTTTTGAGCGGGAAGTTTGTACAGCTACACCATGGCCATTCTGAGAAGTCCTGGGTGGCCGTTATTGTCCAGCAGGATGTTAACACAGCTGTGAATTGGTAGTTCTGGTAGGTCCAGGGGACCGCTATTGTCCAACTCAGTGAGTGGGATCGGGAAAGTCCCTATTTTCCCAGCCTCAGACCTTACATATATCAGATTATATTCTTCAAGAATCCTTAAACAAAGTAAATGAACAATTAATTAATAACAGCCTCTCAAATTATTGAATACCCTATTAAAAATAATTACAAGCCACTATGATTTTTTTTTGTTCAGAAAATCTAAAACTACCTGCAACTGACACTAACAGAGAACCACAGACTTCTACTCAAAGGGAGGTCCTCAGACCAGGACCTGCAGCATCAACATCACATGGGTGATTGTGTGATTTTCAGAATCTCAAGCCCACCGGGACCTGATAATTCAGATTCTGCATTTGAACTAGACTCCTGGGTGACTTGTATGCACAGTGAAGTTGGAGAAGTGCTTGTCTAAACTAGGTGTTGTCACCTTCTCATGCTGTCAATTGAGGCAGGATATTACGTGTGTTGGGCATTGTTGATGTCCAGCAGCATTCATCAGACATTGCCAAATAGCCCCTGAGGCACAGTCATCTCTGGTTGAGAATAGCTGTTCACAGTGAAAGCTAGAGGTATACTGACAGAATTCCAATCAAAACCCCATCTCTTATCAGTTTGACCTCTGAGCGGATCAGTAATCTCATTTGAGCCCTATTCCTGCAATGGGGAATAGAGAATGAGCTTTTCTAAAAATTACATCAGACAATTCTTATAAAATGCTTAGCTCAAGTATGTGCCATAACAATATCTAAATATATCTCTTACTAGAGGCCCAGTGAACAAAAATTTGTGCACTTGTGTGTGTGTGGGGGGGGTCCATTAGCCTGGCCTGTGCCCTCTTGCAGTCTGGGAGCCCTCGGGGGTGTGTACTTGCCAGTGGGGAGCAGGCCTAAGCTGCAGTCGGACATCCTTAGCACTGCTGAGGAGGCGGGAGAGTCTCCCTCTACCACCGCTGTGCTGGCAGCCATCAGCCTGGCTTGTGACTGAGCAGACTTCCCCCTGTGGGAGTGCACTGACCACCAGTGGGCATCTTCTGCATTGAGCTTCTGCCCCCTGGTGGTCAGTGTGTGTCATAGTGACCAGTCATTCCCAGTTGTTCTGCTATGAGGGTCAATTTGCATATTAACATTTTATTATATAGGATAGAGGCCTGGTGCAAGGGTGAAGGCGGCTGGTTTGCCCTGAAGGGTGTCCCGGATCAGGGTGGGGGTCCCGCTGGAGTGCCTGGCCAACCTGGGTGAGGGGTTGAGGGCCGTTTTCAGAGGTGGTTAGGGGTGATCAGGCAGGCAGGCAAGCAAGCTGTTAGGAGCCAATGGTCCCGGATTGTGAGAGGCAGTTGGACATCCCCCAAGGGGTCCTGGATTGGAGAGAGTGCAGCCTGGGCTGAGGGACCCCCCACCCCCATGAACGAATTTTGTGCACTGGGCCTCTAGTGTTAGGATATAAAATACTTAAAACATTGCTTCCTATTGACTGCAAAATAAACATAGTTGTTAGCAGTTGTTTGGTAAGAAGTCATATTTCTACTCCATTGCTTACATTTCCAAGATTTTCTTTTTACTCCCTCAACTTTTGGAGGACTAACTCATTGTAGAAAATAACCTTTGCTTTTGGCAAAATGTAGAAGGTACCAAGGAAACAAGTTCAGGACGAGCACACAATAGGAAGGAATGACTGACATTGAGTGTGATGTTATGATGACCTCTCAGCACCAGCAATATCTGAGACACATGCTTTCCTTTGTTTTCACTTGGGGCACTTTTTCTATACATTCTATACATTGTTTTTATTTGAAATCATGTATTTAGCTCAAGATATAAACCTTTCCTGTGTAATCATGGGCCAGAAAATATTATCTTGAGAGATATAGAAAGTTTAAGCATTATCACCAGAAAACTGCATTCTACTGGAAAGTTTAACCAGGAAGGCAGTCTGTGGAATATACCTATGTTTTTCTTTTCTTATTTATTTACTAGAGGCCCAGTGCACAAAAATTTGTGCACTCAGGGTAGGGGGAGGCCTCAGCCCGGACTATGCCCTCTTAAAGTCTGGGACCCCTCAGAGGATGTCCACCTGCTGGCTTAGGCCTGCTCCCTGGGGAATCGGGCCCAAGCTGGCAGTCAGACATCCCTCTGTCAGACTGGCAGCCCTCGAGGGATGTCCACTTACCAGCAGGGAGCAGATCTAAGCTGCAGTCGGATAGCCTTAGTGCTGCTGAGGAGGCGGGAGAGGCTCCTGCCACCACCGCTGTACTGGCAGCCATCAGCCTGGCTTGTTGCTGAGCAGAGCTCCCCCTGTGGGAGCGCACTGACTACCGGGGGCAGCTCCTGCATTGAGCATCTGCCCCCTGGTGGTCAGTGTGTGTCATAGTGACCAGTCATTTCCAGTGTTCTGCTATTAGGGTCAATTTGCATATTACCCTTTTATTATATAGGAGTGCCTGGCCAGCCTGGGTGAGGGGCTGATGGCTGTTTTCAGTCTGGTCAAGACCCCCCCGTGGGGACCCTCACCCGATGGAGGTTTGGCCAGCCTGGGTGAGGGGCTGATGGATGTTTTCTGGCTGGCCACACCCCCTTTAGGGTGGGGGGTCCCCACTGGGGTTCTTGGCCAGTCTGGGTGAGGGGCTGAGGGCCATTTTTAGGCTGGCCAAGCCCCCTGGCAACGGAAGCTCCCAGCCTCTCCTTTTTTTCTTTTTTCTTTTTATTCTGGGATTTATCTACCTTCTATAATTGAAACTTTGTTGCCTTGAGTGGAGCTCAGAGCCGGCTGTGTCAGGTGGGAAGCTTGGCTTCCTCCATCACTGGGCCACCAAGCCTCCTTGCTCCAGCCCCGTGGCTGCCGGCCGCCATCTTGGTTGGGTTAATTTGCATATAGTCACTCTGATTGGCTGGTGGGCATGGCTTAAGGCATAGTGAAGGTATGGTCAATTTGCATATTTGTCTTTTATTAGTGTAGATTATCGAGGTAGCATTGGTTAATAACATTATAGGTTATAATGTTAACATTGTATGTAATTTGGCATAATTCTATTTTTCTTCTCAGTATGTATCTGAGGAATATTTAAAAACCAATTCATGAAGATATATATATATACCCTTATATTCGTTGTAGCACTATTTACAATAGTCAAGATATGTAAACAACCTCTGTGTCCATTGATGTGTGAATCAACAAAGTGGTACATATATACACTGGAATACTACTCAGTCAAAAAAGATTAAGTATTGGCATTTGCAACAACATCAATCAGGAGAGTACTATCGTAAGTGAAATAAGTCAGAGAGAAAAGGATAATAATCATGTGATTTCACCTCTTTTTCTTTAGTGACCCACTTTTAGTTTTCTTAGAATTGACTTAATTTCCTCTTTTATGCTGTCAATCCATCACCTTTTACCTGGGAAAGAGATAAAACTAAAATGATGGAAATGGCCAAGAATAAATAAACAAATAATAATAAAAACATCAAGTCTTTTCTTAGTTTTTCTAAATTTTTTACTTGAAATATTTCAGACCTATGGAAATTTGAGGAACATCTATGTACCTTTCATCAATTATTGTTTTGCCACATTGATCTATCTCTTTATGCATACATTAACACACACTTTCATTTAATATCAAATTTACAAACTTATGTAATATATGAAACTCACATAACATAAATTAAATACTTTCATGGTGTACAATTTAGTGGCATTTAGTACATTTGCAATATGCACTAATCCTTCTATCTAGTTCTAAAACATTTTCATCACCCCAAAGAAGACTCCATGCTCATTAGGTAGTCATTTCCCACCACCCTCTTCCAATCCTGGCAAACACCAACCTACTGTCCGTCTCCACAGATTTACCTACACTGGATATTTCATATAAATAGACTTTTCCAATATAAAACCATTGTGTCTGAATTCTTTTACCTAGAATTTGTTAGAGATTCATCCATGTTGTAGCATTGTTATTGGCTGAATTATATCTCCTCAAAATTCATGTTGAAATCCTAACCCCCAGGACCTCAGAATATGACTATACTTAGACAAAGGGTCTTTACATTGTTTTATGCTTTTGTTGTTAATCCGAGGATATTTTTCCATTGATTTTTAAGAGATTGGAAGAGAGAGGGAAAGACAGAGAGAAACATTGATGTGAGATGTGAGAAAAACACATTGATTTCATGCAAACAGCCATCAGCCCCTCACCCAAGCTGGCCATACATCATGCGGTGAGGGTACCCGCTGGGGGGCTCAGCCAGCCTGAAAACGGCCCTCAGCCCCTAGCCCAGACTTGCCAAACCTTCATGGGGTGAGGGTCCCCAGTGGGGGGCTTAGCCAGCCTGAAAACAGCCTTCAACCCCTCACCCAGACTGGCCAGGGACCCCAGCAGTACCCCTCACCCTGAAGGGGCTGTGGCCAGCCTGCAAACAGCCCTCAGCCCCTCACCCAGGATGGCCAGGTCACCAGCAGGGACCCCCACCCTGAAGGGGCTGTGGCCAGCCTGCAAACATCCCTCAGCCCCTCACCCAGGCTGTCCTGGCACCCCAAGAGGGACCCCTACCCTGAAGGGGCTGTGGCCAGCCTGCAAACAGCCATCAGCCCCTCACCCAGGCTGGCCAGGCACTCCTATATAATAAAAGGGTAATATGCAAATTGACTCTAACAGCAGAATGACTAAGAATGACTGGTCACTATGACACACACTGACCACCAGGGGGCAGATGGTCAATGCAGGAACTGCCGCCTGGTGTTCACTGCACTCCCACAGGGGGAGCTCTGCTCAGCCACAAGCCAGGCTGATGGCTGCCAGTGCAGCGGTGGTGGTGAGAGCCTCTCCTGCCTCCTCAGCCACTCTAAGGATATCTAACTGCAGCTTAGGCCTGCTCCTCGCTGGCAAGTGGACATCCCACGAGGGCTCCTGGGCTGCCAGAGGGATGTCTGACTGCCAGCTTAGGCCTAATCCCCCAGAGACTGGGCCTAAGCCAGCAGGTGGTCATCCCCCGAGGGGTCCCAGACTGTGAGAGGGCACAGGCCAGGCTGAGGGAGCCCCCCCCCCTCCCCCCGAGTGCACAAATTTTTTGTGCACCAGACCTCTAGTGTAAGGATAATTGATAAGAGAAGGACGGTATTCAAAGTGAAGGTGAAAGTTGTCTTCAGAGAGAAGGGAAATGGTGTGAATGATGTGGCAATGTGGAAAAAGTGCATGCTAATTTATGTGTGGTTCAGAGGGTGCAGTTCACAGAGTAATCACAATGACTCAGATTTTCTCTGTGAAATATGTGGTAAGAATATTTGCTGAGAAATGGAGAAGGGATAGAAGATTCAACAGTGAAACCAGTGCTTGTGGAGGATGGATGAACAGGTGAAAGATATACAGGACTTCCTGGGAGTATAGTAGGCTCCTTTTGAAAAAAAATATTTTAAAATACGTTTTTATTTTTTGAGAGAGAGAGTGAGGAAAGTAGAGGGATAGAGAGCTAGAAACATCGATTGCCTGCTTCCTGCATTCCCCTTACTGGGGATCAAACCTGCAACTTAGGAGTGTGCCCTGACTGGGAATTGAACCCAGGACCTCTTGGTTTATGGGTCAATGCTCAACCACCGAGCCACAGTAGGTGGGCATAGTAGGCTCCTTTAAATGGGAAAGAAGATTCAAGGGGTTTAATGGAAGATGGAAGAAGAGCTGAGAAACTGTAAGAGAACATTCTATGTCTAAAAAAAATTGTAAAAAGAACTTGGTAAATCTAAACTACTGGTGTTTCTTAGTAATCAGTGCCATGAATTATCCCATGCAATGATGGTTTTTTTTTAAATTAAATCTTTATTGTTCAGATTATTACATTTGTTCCTCTTTTTTTCCCCCCCATAACTCCCCTCCTCCCAGTTCCCGCCCCACCCTCCACCCTCACTCCCCATCCACTGTCCTCTTTCATAGGTGCACGATTTTTGTCCAGTCTCTTCCCGCATCTCCGACCCCTTTCCCCCCCAGGAATAGTCAGTCCATTCCCTTTCTATGTCCCTGATTCTATTATGATCAACAGTTCATTCTGTTCATCAGATTATTTATTCACTTGATTCTTAGATTCACTTGTTGATAGATGCATATTTGTTGTTCATAATTTGTATCTTTACCTTTTTCTTCCTCTTCCTCTTCTTAAAGGATACCTTTCAGCGTTTCATATAATCCTGGTTTGGTGGTGATGAACTCCTTTAGCTTTTCCTTATCTGTGAAGCTCTTTATCTGACCTTCAATTCTGTATGATAGCTTTGCTGGATAAAGTAATCTTGGTTGTAGGTTCTTGGTATTCATCACTTTGAATATTTCTTGCCACTCCCTTCTGGCCTGCAAAGTTTCTGTTGAGAAATCAGCTGACAGTCGTATGGGTATTCCCTTGTAGGTAACTGAGTTTCTTTCTCTTGCTGTTTTTAAGATTCTCTCTTTATCTTTTGCTCTTGGCATTTTAATTATGATGTGTCTTGGTGTGGTCCTCTTTGGATTCCTTTTGTTTGGGGTTCTCCGCGCTTCTTGGACCTGTAAGTCCATTTCTTTCACCAGGTGGGGGAAGTTTTCTGTCATTATTTCTTCAAATAGGTTTTCAATATCTTGCTCTCTCTCATCTTCTGGCACCCCTATAATTCTGATGTTGGTACGCTTGAAGCTGTCCCAGAGGCTCCTTACACTATCCTCACATTTTTGGATTCTTTTTTCATTTTGCTTTTCCGGTTGGGTGTTTTTTGCTTCCTCGCATTTCAAATCATTGACTTGATTCTTGCGCTCCTCTGGTCTGCTGTCGGGAGTCTGTATAATATTCGTTATTTCAGTCCGTGTATGCTTAATTTCTAGTTGGTTCCCCAATATAAGATCGAGGGTCTCATTAGTTTTCTTGTAGATCTCATTAAGTTTATCGGCGGCTTCTAAACAGTTCTTGAGAGACCTTAAAAGTGTGGTTCTGAACTCTATATCTTCCATTGACAATTTTGTCCTGTTTCTTTGTCTCCGCATTTTGTTATGCTTCCTTGGTGCACCCCCTAGTGGTCTTTGTTCGTAGTCTTATAGTTAAACCTTGATTGTTGTAGCTAATCTTCTTTATTTTCTATTTCTTTTTGCATTATTCTTTCATCATTCTAATTTATTTTATTTTCCTATTTTTTAAATTAATTTTTAAAATTTATTATTATTTCATTCTTCTCTTTCTCTTTCTTCTTATCCACTCATCCTCTTCCTATTTCCTCTATACTGAACTATCCCCTCTGGCTGGCTCAACGCTTAAGCCCAGGGCACTGCAACTACATGAGCAGCAGTCTAGTGAGCGGTCTGCCCCCATCCGAGACGCAGCAGCCCCATGAGAAGCCTGGCACAGTCTGAGGAGCGGCAGCCTCACATGGCCTGCCCCTGTCCAAGGAGCAGTAGCCTTGCACAGCCCACACCCATCTGAGGAGCAGCAGCCACATGAGCAGCCCACTCCCATCTGAGGAGCAGCAGTCTTGCGAGCAGGCTGACCCTGCCCAAGGAGCACCAGCCATTTGTGCAGCCCATCCCTGTCTGAGGAGTGGCAGCTGTGCAGAGCCCGCCCCCATCCAAGGAGCAGGAGCTGCGCAAGCAGCCTGACCACGTCTGAGGAACAACAGCCTCATAAGCATCCCACCCTCACCAGCCAGAGGAACAACCACTGCTGTAAGCATAGCCCACCAGAGGAGCCACCACCAACTGAGGAGCAGCTGCTGCTATGACTGCCCAAGGAGCAGCCCCTGCATAACTCAACACCTAGATCCTGTGGTGAGAGAAAAAATAGGGATACAAGGAGACCCCCAGAGGAAAGAAAAGGATGAATTGCCAGAAAAGCAGCTAAATGAGACATGCAACATGTCAGAAAAAGAATTCAGAATAAGTGTCATACAGTTCATAAACCAGATGGATGAAAAAAATCAACAACTTAAGTAAGAATTGAGAAGAAATAAAGAGTGATATAGCTGCAATAAAAAACACAATGGAAAGTCTCAACAGTAGAATAGGAGAAGTGGAGGACCGAATTAGTGAATTAGAAGACAGAGAAGCAAAACACACCCAAAATGAGTTGCACTTAAAGAAAAAAATTTCAAAACATGAGGAGAGCCTAAGGGAGCTTTGGGACAACATGAAACAAAGCAACATATGAATAATAGGGGTGACAGGATGACAGAAAGAGGAACAAGGGTTAGAAAACCTATTTGAAGAAATAATGTCAGAAAACTTCCCTGATGTGGGGAAGAAGAAAGTCAAAATGTCCATACTACCCAAAGCAATCTATAAATTCAATGCAATCTCCATTAAAATACCAACGGCATATTTCACAGACCTAGAACAAACTCTCCAAAAATTCATCTGGATTAAAAGAAGAACTCGATTAGCTGCAGCAATATTGAGAAAGAAGAACAATGTTGGAGGGATCACAATACCATATATCAAGCTATATTACAAAGCCACTGTTCTCAAAACTGCCTGGTACTGGCACAAGAACAGACATATAGACCATTGCAACAGAACAGAGAACCTAGAGATCAGCCCAAGTGATTATGCTCAATTAATATTTGAGAAAGGAAGCAAGAGCAAACAATGGAGTCAAGACAGTCTCTTCAATAAATGATGTTGGGAAAATTCGACACATACTTTCAAAAAAAATGAAACCAACTTACAACATACACAAAAATAAATTCAAAATGGATGAGGACTTAAACGTATTATGGGGAACCATAAAAATCTTAGAAGACTCTGTAGTAGTGGTTCTCAACCTCTGGCCCTTTAAATACAGTTCCTCATGTTGTGACCCAACCATAAAATTATTTTTGTTGCTATTTCATAACTGTAATGTTGCTACTGTTATGAATCATAATGTAAATATCTGATATCCAGGATGGTCTTAGACGACCCCTGTGAAAGGGTTGTTCGACCGCCAAAGGGGTTGCGACCCACTGGTTGAGAACTACTGCTCTATAGGCAGAAAAATAGCAGACATATGTCATAGCAATATCTTTACTTATACAGTTCCTAGGGCAATGGAAACTAAGGAGAAAATAAACAAATAGAACTACATTAAAATAATAAGTTTCTGCACAGCAAAAGAAGCTATCAACAAAACAACAAGAAAGCCCACTGCATGGGAGAACATATTTGCCAATGTTATCACTGATAAGGTTTTAATCTCCAAAATTTACAAAGAACTCATACAACTTAACAAAAGGAATATAAACAATCCAATAAAAAAATGGTCAAAGGACCTAAGTAGACACTTTTTGAAAGAGGACATACAGAACGCAAGAGACATGTGAAAACATGCTCAAAGTCACTAATCATATGGGAGAGGCAAATCAAAACAACAATGAGGTACCATCTGACACCTGTCAGCATAGCTATCAACAGATCAACAAATGACAAGTGCTGGAGAGGATGCAGAGAAAAAGGAACGCTTGTGCACTGCTGATGGGAATGCAGACTGGTGCAGCCACTGTGGAAAACAGTATGGCATTTCCTCAAAAAATTAAAAATGGAACTTACATCTGTCCCAGTAATCCCACTCCTAGGAATGTATCCTAAGAAAACAGAAACACCAATCAGAAAGGATATATGCACCTCTATGTTCATAGCAGCACAATTTACAATAGCTAAAGTTTAGAAACAGCCTAAGTACCCATAAGCAGACGAGTGGATTAGAAAACTGTGGTACATCTACAAATGGAATTCTATGCTGCTGTAAAAAAAGAAGGAATTCTTACCATTTGCAACAGCATGGATGGAACCAGAGAACATTATGCTAAGCAAAATAAGGCAGTCAGAGAAAGATAAATATCACATGATCTCACTCATTTGTGGGATATAATGAACAACATAAACTGATGAACAAAAATAGAACCAGAGACTCAGAACCATCAAACCGACTATCTAACCTATGAGGGAAGGTGGGGAGTGAGGAGGTAAGAGATCAAGCAAAGGACTTTTATGCATGCATATGGGTAAAACCAATGGACACAGACAGGAGGAGTGTGAGGGCTTATGCTTGGGTGACAGGGTGGTGAGGGAGAGGTCAATTGGGGGAAAACGGAGACTCACGCAATACTTTAAACAATAAAGAATTAAAAAAGAGAAAATGAAATTTAAGACATGATACTTAAAAATAATATCAATCAGAGAAAGGAGAAATATATAAATATCTGTAGGGTTTCATGTACAAGGTCCAAATTTGTAAGCCTAAAAAGATATCATATATTTTAAATACAACTAAGGATAATTTTATTTTAAAAAAGTGCTAATGTGCAAAAGTCAAGATGAATACAGTTCCTCAGGAGTAAGAGCAAAATATATATTTTCTAACTGAGACCATTGCTAATGGTTAAGGAATCAAAGAGTAAATTCAGTGGGAGACATCCTATGGCATCTCCTGCTATATAAACAGGTTGTCCAGTGTTTTGGCATGAGGTACTCTATCAGTTAGTGAAGTGCTCTGGGAGGGGCGTCCGACATGGCTCCGGTGGAGAGGGTGTATTGCTCAGACTCTGTTTTGGTTTTCCTGACCCCTTTCCACCATTTCCTGTATTGCTTCCGGACCTGCAGAGGCAAAGCATGCTCTGAGTCAGCTCACCGAGAGGAGTGAGAGTGGAAAGAGTCCTGGGTGGGAGGTGGACAGTGATACCTGCTGGCTGAGGAGACAGTACACCAGGAAGATGAAGACACCCTGCAGGCTGTTGATGATGGTGAAGAGATAGGCCATGGTGTGAGCAGCTGGACCCACCTGCAGGATTCCCAGACACCACGTGCAGCCCAAGATGAAGAGCTGAGCTATCGCTTTAAATGTCAGCATCCTTAGTAGGAAGAGAAGAGAGGCCCATGGTGCACCCAGAGCAACAGAATTAAGGCCATTCTCATCTCCACCCAATGAATGCTCCTGCCTTCCCCTGGGGGTGATGAGTTTTCAGACTGCATTGTGATCAGCTTTGACCTTTACTATCAATGGTTCTCCACAATAGAAATGCTACTTGGGTCCAGGATGGCATTTTGATTCAATTGAGTCGGGTTGTGACACTTCATAATGTAAGTTTCAAAAAAATATTCTATAATGCTCCATGGTGATGCCTAATTTTATCTAACTAACATTACTAAGTGTGTTCTGTGCATCAGGCTGTGTGCTGGGGCCTGGACATTAAAGTCACAGAGGCAAGATTCCCATTTTCATAAAGGTCACAGGCTATTCCAATGACTAATACAGCGGAATAATGACATGCAAAATGTAGAAAGGACCCTGGAGAGGGGTGAGAAGGAGCCTGACTGAGAGTGGGCATGGAAGTGCAGACTGGGTTGTGGGAGGAGTCACAGATTTTTCTAAGTGCATACAGGTTCTTTGTACTTTTGTTGTAGGACTGCTGACAAAGTCCAAAGAATGTTTATCAACCAATGTCAATTCCTCCTGTTGCTGAGGGAGTTACAAGATGGGATTAGAGACAGAACACTGTGGCTGGGAAGTCAGCAGCCCACCACTGAATCCAAGCTGGCTGCCATTGGAGGACAGCTGCATCTCTTTACTCTGGGTTCCCTCAGAAGACCCCGAGAAGGGACGTCAGGGCTGCTGAGGCACATGGATTTGCTCTTGGGACCACACATGTCTGTGAGGTTGTCACCCTCTTCTCTATTTTACCTTGTATTCTTGAGGGTGGACACATCACTGTTGAGTGAAGAGAGTTTGCGTTTCAAAATCCAGAGGGTCATCAGAAAGAAAGTTAGATTGACCTTCAGGAAAACACACAAGGTTTAGTGAATAACATTTTAGTTTGTTATCTCTAGTCTAGCCTGTCCAGCAGCAATTGCACACTTAAGTAGTTTTTATATTTAGTAAGAGTGTTTGAGCTTGTAGTTTTAGGAGGAGTCTTAGAAAACCAAAGCAAACCCAAGACAACCCAGGGACATTCTTGCTCATGTCATCCTCTTGCCTCCTTATAATTCTAATTACACTCAGTTGAGTGTTAAGGATGCTCTGATGTCTTCACTCACAAAGAGGATGGCGCAGACTGGTCCAAGGAAGCCCCATATAAATCCCTTTTCTGGGTGGAGCCAGCAGCTAAGAAAGAGAGAGAATTAAAATGCATTGGTCCTTAGAAATGTAGAAAAATTAATGCCAATTCATTCATTAATTTATTCATCAACAAACATTGAGTGTCTTTTCTGTGATAGGCTCTGTGATTGGCTTTGAAGATACTGTCATGAAGAAAGTAAGCATGGTCTTGAATCCCACACATCTCACAGATAAAGAAACGGGAATTTGCCCTTACCGAGCAGGTGTTCCATAAAGGTGAGGCCTGGATGCTGCAGAAATGGCCACAATAACAGCTGGGACTCCGTAGCCCACAGGGAGCATGAACTTCTTGATGAACCTGCTCACACTGGAGTAGTTGACCACCGTCAGGTTGCGTGCAGTGAGGAAGAGGTGCAGGCCCTCCAGCAGCATCCAGGTGAAGGAGGCCAGGTAGAGGTAGTGTAAGGCACCTGCGATGATTGCACACAGCACCTGGGGAGGAGTGAGAGTCACCAGGTGGGATTGCCAGGGTGGACCATGGCCCCAAGACCTCTCCTATACCTTGCCATTTGGGAGAACTCTGTTGAATATGAAGGAATTGTCAAAAGAAGATGTGATTGCCCTGGCTGGTTTGGCTCAGTGGATAGAGCATCAGCCTGCCGACTGAAGGGTCTGAGGTTTGATTCCAGTCAAGGGCACATGCCCGGGTTGTAGGCTCAATCCCCAGTTGGGGGTGTGCAGGAGGCAGCCAATCAATGATTCTCATCATTGATGTTTCTATCTCTCTCTCCCTCTCCCTTCTTCTCTGAAATCAATAAAAATATATTAAAAAGAGAGAAAAAAAGAAGAAGGTATAATTTCTAGTTTGGTCAATGTGAAATTGGCTACTCACCCCTCTAAATTTCCCCAGACCCAAAGTCATTTTATTAATGACTTTGCAATGCAAAGTGCACTCCTCATTCCACGGTCAGGGCATGCTTCCTTTGGGACAGTGTTGTTACCTTAGGCTCAGTTCTGTCGATGGCCGTGAGGAAGAGCAGGTGGGCCAGGAAGAGGCAAAGAGAGAGCTGCAGGTGGAGTGAGGTGCTGGTGTTCTGGATGGCTTTGCACAGCAGGAAGGTGAGGGCCGCCAGGAGGAGGCACAGTAGAGAGAGGCTCAGCCCCACATAGGTGATCACAGCCAGGGCGGGATCCTCCTCCTGGGACCCAGGAAAGAGGAGAGAGCAGTCACACTCACCTAATCTGGGTTAATGACCCTTCTACCATTTTCAGTTTGGGCAGAGTTCAACAAAATTAGGAGTGGAGGAGCCAGGTAAATTTGTGATGTTTATGGACACTATTAGAATTCTAGGGGGTCCTGAACTGATTAAATTTAGACCCTGTAAACATTGAGGGATAAGAGAGTCCTCATTCAGGACCAAGCCCTGGAAATCATAGGGTTGATTTTTCTTCACGACTATGCTTATAGGTTATCATGTGACAGTCAGAGAGGCACATGACTCCATGTTGAGCACCATCCTCCATTCCTATGACGTGATACTGTGTGACAGTGTCTGTATCTGGAGACTCGATGTCCTGGGATCATCTCCCCCGCTTGTACTTACTCGCATCATCCCTGCAGCACCTGTTCCTTACAGATTTAAATCCTTGGTTAAAGAAGGAAAAGTACTCATGATGGTGGTAGCTTGAAATTAATATTTCCTGCCTATTATTTATGATTTATTTATTTATTTATTTATTTATTTACTTATTTATTTATTTTTAAGATATATTTTTATTGATTTCAGAGAGGAACGGAGAGGGAGAGATAGAAACATCAATGATGACAGAAAATTATTGATTGGCTGTCTCCTGCAGTTCCCTGCTGGGTTTTCAGTCTGCAACCAAGGCATGTGCCCTTGACCAGAATCAAACCTGGGACCTTTAAGTCCATACGCTGGTGCTCTATTCACTCAGCTAAACTCACTAGGTTTCCTGCCTATTTTTTAAAGATTAAAATTTTCCTTGCCTCATTTTTCAAATCATCTTAAATCCATAACGATACATTTTAAAAATTAATTTTAGGATAAATAGGTGAGAAAAGAAAGAGAGAGAGAGACAGAGAGAAAAAAGAAATATGAAAATGATAAAGAATATGGAGGTTAAATGTTCAAAGTTAGTACATCTGATAAAGAGCAATATGTTATTATTTACATGATTTTTATTATTGCAATAAATCTGCAAGATTGACATTACTTTCTAAGTAAATGTTTACAAATAAATAGCAAGCTCTCCAGGTGATTTTGACACATACTAGGTTTTGAGCATCTTTGGTGTAAGGAAATAAACTAACTCCTCTACCTCATAAAGAGCTCCCAGATCCATCAGAAATGCTTCAACAGGTCAATAGAAAAATGGACCAAAAAGTGAACAACTTGTTTCCAGAAACAGAACTACAAATCGCATTTAAATGAAGATATTCCATTCCATTCATAATGAAAGACATACAAATTTCCTAATATAACAATATAATTATATTTAACTCTCAGATGGATAAAGATCCAAAACTTTGATAATGACCTTGTGAGAGTGTGAGGAATCATACAGCTTCAGGTAATGCTGGTAGGAGTGTCCACAGGTGTCACCTCTATATGCTAAAATATGGAAAAATTTGCCAATATAGGTCAGGGATAAAAGTAAACAGAGCTAAAGGTAATATTTTATTTTATGCTTTCAACTAAACAATTTAATTTTTTCTGCCTTTCTGTATATGCTTCTTGCCTTAAAACACAGTACTAAGGATGAAGAGATCCTGTTATGCAATACCCATATCTTTTTTTTTCTTTTTCTTTTTTAAGAGATGAGCAGTGCAATTTAGAGACATATCAGCATTCTATATTTGGAATAGGGAAGTATTTTCAATGTTCTTGTCTATCATAAGTGTTGAGAAAAATCCATGTTTTCCCCATTTAAAAATACTGATAAAGATCACCTCTTTCTTCATGCAATAAAAGTCAGGTTAAAACACTTAAGTATACTTTAGATCTTCTGTTTTGTAAGCATCACCGGAGGAAATACCACAAGAATGGCATTGACATATTTAACAGATTTGGAGGTAAGTCTACCTGTGAATCTTGGAGCTGTGTCTCTAGGTGTCAGTGTGCATGCATGCAAGTGTGAGTCACCTTTAGCTTTGCAGAGGCCAAATAACTGGAGTGTTGCCAAGTAGTTAGCACATTTTTATTTGAGTTCTTAAGTCACCAGGGGAAGTAAACTTTTCACTGTACCATGAAAAAAAATTTGACATAGTATGCATACTAACTAGATACTCAAACAAGAAAACAATGCAGTGTGTCTAAATAATTACAACTTTATTTGTAGTAGGAAATGATCTTGAAACAAAATTCCCACTATGAGAAGATTTGATATGTAATTTATAGCACATGCATACAATGAAATGCACTGGAAAAAAAATAATGGAGTGTCTTTTTGTAGATTGGAATAGAATAATCTTTTAGAGATAATAAATAAAAACAAAATGCACGGCCATGAAAAATAACACTATGTGAGTAAAAAAAGAGGAACAAAGAATACAAGCGACATCAGAGTAATGGCAGCAGGAGAGAGGCCCTTGTCCTCTGCCTCTGAAATTTCAAGAAGTTAACCAACTATAATTCAACATACAAATCCCTGCTCAACGCGGATGCATGCCTAAGAGACCCGGGCTTTGAAACATCTAAAAGTGGGCAACCAGGAATAAATGGGGAGATGAGAAGAGAGGACCTGCAGATGCAGCCCCTGGCTGGCTGGGAGAGGGTAGTAAGCTGGTGGTAGTATGTGCTTCCTTTGGCCGGGAGGAACAGAGAGCTGCAGGGGCTGGAGGTTCCTGGGGGTGCAGCCCAGCAGTGTGAGCTGTGAGGGAGTGTCTGAGTCAGCAGATCCCTGACAGAGCATGTGGTTCTGCCATGTGGCTCCCCGCTGTCCAGCTGGTGGTGATGTTTCAGACAAAGAAACAAAACCACAGAGTTCTGCCACCACTTGAATTCCCAAAACTCACCTCCCTTCGCCTTTAGAGTTGGGTCCAAGAGCATACTATCTGTGAACCAAGAGCTATTGCAGGAAAACCACTGTTTCCCTTTGTGACATCTCCAGGAAGGGTGCTTGGGATGGAACCCCATAGAGATCAGGGGTTACCATTATGGTAAGGGCAAAAAACCCCCATCCCCAAGCAGCATAGCTGTACTGTCTTACAGAAGCAGCAGTGGTTCAACACTGGGAGATCACAGAGGTAAAACAATCTTGCAATTCAGCACTACCTACTGGAAAATATTAGAAAGACCTCTTCAGAGATAAATGCATAAGCAAAGGAGGACAGCAAATACCATGAACAAGGAAAGTAATGAGGATGACCAGATAGAAAATGTAAAATCTCCAGAAAGCAAGCTGGAACACATGGAAATATCCTATACAGTGGGGCCTTGACTTACGAGTTTAATTCGTTCCGTGACAGAGCTCATAACTCAAAGTACTCATATGTCAAATCAAAAAGTGAACTAGTGAGACACGTGCTGCTGGGCTGATGTTGTGGCGTTCACTGTGACGTTTGCTGCGCCAACTAGCAGTGGGGTATCTGAAGCTGGCTCATAACCCGAATTTTAGCTCACAACTCAAAGCAAAAAATTGGCCGAGAGACTGCTCATATCTCAAAAAACTTGTTAGTTAGGACACTCGTAAGTCATGGCCCCACTGTATAATAAAAGCCACGTGACAGAAACGGCAGAATGACCAAAACAACCAGAGACCAGAACAACTGCAGCCTGCAAATTGCCCGATGCCCCTTGCCCCGGCCAGCCCCACTCCCCAGCAGGGACCCCCACCCCAATCGGGGGCATGGCCAGCCTGCAAACCACCAGCAGCCTCCCGCTCCAGCCAGCCCCGTCCCCCAGCGGGGACCCCCACTGCAATTGTGGGTATGGCCAGCCTGAATAATGCCAGCAGCCCCTTGCCTTGGCTGGCCCCGACCCCCAGTGGGGACCCCCACCCTGATGGGGGGCATAGCCAGCCTGAAAACCACATGAGGCACCTCGCCCCATCTAGCCCTGTCCCCCAGTGGGACCCCCACCCTGATTGGGAGTGTGGCCAGACTGCAAATTGCCGGTGGCCCTCATCCTGGCTGGCAAGCTCTGATCCCCCGATGGCAAATGGTGAACCAGGGTTGGGTGATGGCAGGGGGTGGACCAGCTGCTGGCAGCTGTGGAAGATGGCCCTGATCATAGGCCAGGTCTAGGGACCATACCCCCACACAAATTTTGTGCACTGGGCCTCTAGTGTGATATAAATGACAGAGATTTCAAGATTGCAGTTCTGAATGTACTCAATGAGATGTGAGAAAATACAGACAGGCAACTCAGTGCACTCAGAAAACAAATCAATGAACAAAATGAGTACTTTACCAAACAGACCAAAACTTTAAAAAATAACCAATCAGAAATCCTAGAAATGAAGCATGCAATTAAGGAGATTAAGAGTGAACTACTGAGCATAGAAAACAGAGCCAGCCAGATGGAGGAAAGAATTCATGATATTGAAGACAGGAATCTAGAAATGGTGCAGGGGGAGAAGAGAGAGACTTGAGCATAAAGAAAAACAAAAGAGCTCTATGAGAACTATCTGACTCCATCAGAAAAAGAAATAGTAGAATTATAGGTATTCTGGAGGAGGAGGAGAGGGAGCATGGAATGGAGAGTCTATTCAAACAAGTAGTGGATAAGAACTTTCCAAACCTATAGAATGGACTAGATCCTTGAATCAAAAAAGCAAACAAAATTCCTAGTTATCTCAATCCAAAGAGGCACTTGGTATTGAAGTGTTAAGAATTAACGTCAAAGAAAAAAATCTCAAAGCAGCCAGTGAACTACAAAGGAAAACCCATCAGAATTTTATCTGACTTCTCAACAGAAACTCTACAAGCCAGAAGAGAGTGGAACCAAATACTCAAACATCTGAAAGAGAGAAATTACCAGCCACGAATAATATATCCAGCAAAATTATCCTTTCAATATGATGAGAAATAAGATGTTCCCAGACATACAGAAGATAAGGGTTTTATTATTTTTTTTCACCAGAAAACCTCCATTGCAGGAAATACTCAAGAAGGTTATTCTACCTGAAACAAAGATCAAACGTCACAACTCTATGAGTGAGATCACCAAAAACTTACAGCTTAAACAGGGATAATTTGTGACAACAAAACCATAAAGGGGAGGGGAAAAGGACTGAACTGGCAAAGAAGAATGAAGATCAGACACACTCAAAAGAAAAAAGGCTACTGTATATAAGCAAATTTATTTTTTATAAACCTAATGGTAACCACACACAAAAAATCTCAAACCTGGACACGCAGCTTAAAAAAAGAGGGAACAGAGGGAAGAAGTGTGGAATATCACCAAACAAAAACAACAGACAGAGACACAAACGAAAAGCACCAATGGAGGCACAGAGCCACCAGAAAATAAAAGACAAAATGGCTATAGAAAAGCCTTAGACATAAATAATTACCCTAAATATAAATGGTCTGAATTCACCTATAAAGAGGCACAGAGTGGCAGAGTGGATCAAAAAACAAAAGTCAACCAAATGCTGCAAGAGACACATCTAACCTGCAAAGACAAAGGTAGATTCAAAGAAGATGGGTAGGAAATGATTCTCCAAGCATATCCAAAGAAAAGCAGGTATAGCCATACTTATGTCTGACAAAATAGATTTTAAAATAACAAAGATAACAAGATACAAAGGTAGCCACTTTAAAATGGTCAAGGGTACACTACATCAAGAAAACATAACACTTCTTAATATATATGCACCCAATCAAAGAGCACCGAAATAATCACAGAATAATAACAACTAATCACAGAATTAAAGGGAGAAACAGATCAACACAATCATAGTGATGACTTTAATACTCCAATGACAGCTCTAGACAGACCAACCAAACACCAAATCAATAAAGAAATATCAGTCTTAAATGAAACACTAGATCAAATGGACATAGTTGACATTTAAAGAACCTTTCATCCCAGGACATCAAATTATACATTTTTCTACAGTGCACATGGAACATTCTCAAGGACAGACCATATGTTGGGTCACAAAACTAGCATTAAGAAATTTAAGAAGATTGAATTATACCAAGCATATTCTCCGACCACAATGCCTTAAAATTAGAAGGCAACTGCAAAATCGGGCCAGAGTGCCTCCGTGGTTGAGCATCGACCTATGAACCAGGAGGTCAGGGTTGGATTCCCAGTCAGGACACATGCCTGGGTTGCAGGCTTGATTCCTAGTCGGGGGCACACAGGAGACAGCTGATCCATGATTCTCTCTCTCTCTTATCATTGATGTTTTTATATCTCTCTCTCTTTTCCTTCATCTCTGAAATCAATAAATATATATATAAAGAAATCAACTGTAAAAAGGAAGTAAAGAAACCCACAAATATGTGGAGATTAAACAACATACTGGAATTAAATCTGCAACCCTTCAGTGCATGGGATGATGCTCTAACCACTGAGAACACTGGCCAGGGCTGGAGAATATCTCGATGTGAGGGAGCTTCTGCTGCTGGCCTCCAGTTAAGAGCATAGACACATTGTGAGAGGGCCTGCAAGAGGGCCACATAAGAAGGAATGCAGGGAGGCCCTAGTAGCTGAATGTGACTCTTGCTGCCAGCTAACAAGAGTGTAAAACCTCAGTCCTACAAACATAGGGAAGTGAATTCTGCCAGCAACCAGGGAGCTCAGAAGAGAACAGAAATCCTCAGATGAGAGGCTTGTGTAAGACCCTGACCGGACAACCCAGGTGCACCATGTTTATTTGTTGACCCACATAAATTGCAGAATAATAAATTATGTTTTTAAGGTGCAGCATGCATGGGAGTTTATTACATAGCAATAGACATTGAACAAAGTCCCTTCTCAAGGCTCTCACCTGCACATCATAGTGGGCCATGAGGACGGCAAAGCTGCTGAGGTGGCTGCATTGGCAGGTGGTGCTGGTGTCTATAGTACCCACCCTCCAGCAGCCTTTGGTGGACCAATGACCACTTCCATTCTGGCCAGGCTCCCAGAAGACACAGAACACCTTCTTCCTTGGCCCCGGGGTCACTGACTATAGGAACAGGGCAAGGTGTGAGCTGGTGATTAGGTGCTCAGAAATGCTGACCCAAATCCTGCTTGTGATGGGCATTCCTGGGGAGATGATGCACCCATGGGAGAGCCCCTGAACCCCAAGACTATGTCCAGGTCTCAGGCCTCTTCCACACCCACACCCCCTTTTCAGCAGCACTCACATGCTTGAAGACAAAGGTGACTGGGGAGCTGAGGTTCTGGGTGTCCGTATTGCTCACAAAGGCAGATATGACATCTGAGAGCAGGACGGGGGAGACTTCCTGCAGCAGGCCCTTGTGTGTCTCATGCAAAACTGACTGCTTCTCAGTTTCCAGGACCAGGGGGGCCTCAACCAGCAACTTGCCCATCCCTGGAGAGGAGACAAGGCCCACCACAGCAGGGCCTACGAGAGAAGGACAAGATTGACATCTTGGGTTGACCCAAAAGCCCCCCTCCTTCTCTCTTTTGACCCACTACGGCACATACTTCCCTTTAATATTTAATTCTGTTTGTCACATCCGTGGGTGTCTTGTTCCACTGTGAAGCCTCATTGACCTTCTCTTCACATCAGTCATTACCTGAGTCACCTGAGTCCTGCACCACATCCCAGTTCACCAGCATCTTCGCCTGATGAACACTCAGGGTGACATTCTTGTCTCCTTGCTCCTTCACCTCCAGGGACAGTTCTGAGTTGTGGGAGTTACATAAGGGAGTTTGATTAGTAACTGTGCCAATAGTTGTTGCTATAATACCATTTGTATGTATAGACATCTTTTATATATATTACTAGTGTCCCAGTGCATGAAATTCATGCACATTAAAAGGGAATTAGAGGAAATATTTTAATATTGCTATTTTCCCTTTCTCTATAATAGAAGTGTCCGTTCGGCCCCACCTCTGTCAAGCCCCGCCCGACAGGGGATGCAGCCTCATGTCCTGGTGCCGGGGTGGGGGAGGTGCGGCCTCATGTGGGGCATGGCCCCTGGTCCCCTGGCCCTGGCATTGGGGTGGAGGGGCGTGGCCTCAGGGGGGCACAGCCTCAGGTCCCCCAGCCCTGGCAGCCAGGTGTGGGGTGCTGCCTCAGGGAGCTTGGCCTGAGGTCTCCCAGCTACAGCACCGGGGCAGGGGGTGCGAGGCCTCATGTCCCCACCCCAGCCTAGTAACACGCAGCCCCAGGTCCCTGCTAATTGGCGTTACAGCGTGATAGCGTGATGGTGTGATGACCATTTTCATATTAGCCTTTTATTATGATGATGTTACATTATCTACCAAATTTATCTATAATATTGTTACATGTATACCAAATAATGTGTATATATATATATATATATATATATATATATATATATATGCCTAATATGCAAATTGTTCCTGTGGAAATTTGACTGGGAGACCTGTCGCTTGCTATGATGTGAACTGATCATCAGGGGGTGGTGCCAAATGAAGGAAGGCCCTGGCCAGCTGCTGGCAGCAGGGGGAGGGAGGCCCTGGCCAGTAGTAGGAAGGCTCTGCTTGGCACTGATTGCCAGCCCCCTAGGGAGGCGAATTTTGTGCACAGGACCTCTAGTATATATTAGAATAATACACATATTTTGTATATGATATATATATATACAGCAATCATCTGAATTTACAAAGGATTATAAGAGAAATTATGAGCAATTATTCAACAACAAATTATATAACCTGAATGAAATAAATTCTTACAAAGCCATGAATTATAAAAGTACCTGAAGGACTAGAGTCTGAACAGACCTGTCACAAGTAAGGAGATTGAATTTGTAATTAAAACTTTCTAAAATGGCCCTAACTGGTTTGGTTCAGTGGATAGAGCATTGGCCTGTGGACTAAGGGTCCTGGGTTCTATTTCAGTCAAGGGCACATGCCCAGGTTGCTAGATCCTCAGTAGGGGACATGCAGGAGGCAGCCTATCAATGATTCTCTCTCAACATTAATATTTCTCTCTCTCCTCTCCTTTCCTGTCTGAAATCAATAAGATATATTTAAAAAACCCCACAACTTTCCAAAATGAAAAGTGGAGACCCGAATTTGACTAACCATTTATGGAAGAATTAACACAAATTCTTGTAAATTCCTAAAAAATACAATGAAAAGGAACACTAAGTAATTTTATGAGGCCACAGTTAGGCTAAAAACAAAACCAGAAAAAGACATCAAAAGAAAACAAAACTATAGATCATTAAGTCTTATGAACATAGATGCAAAAATCTTCAACAAAATATCAGGAATAGCTTTATCAAAGAAGGCTCAAGACTTGTCCACTGAAAGCTATAAAATTGCTAAAGAAATTTAAAAACCCTAAATAAGTTGAAAAGTATCCTGTGATTATGAATTGGAAGACAATATTGTAAACATGGCAATATTCTCAAAAGTGATCTACAGATTCAATGCAATACTAACAATACTCCAACAGCATTTCTTTTTTGCAAAAATGGAAAAGCTCATCCTAAAATTCATATGGTATTGCAAGAGGCCCCAATACCCAAGCAATATTGAAAATGCAAAACAAAGTTGGAGGACTCACACTTCCTGATTTCAGAACTTATACAGTAATCAGAGCAGTATGGTACTGCCATATGAGTAGACATATAAACCAACAAAATAAAATTGAGAGCCTAGAAATAAACCCATTTATTTATGTCAAGTAATTTTCAGCAATACCCTTCAATGAGGGAAAGAATAGTCTATGCACAAGCAAAAAATGGAAGATGGACCCATACCTCACAAAATACACAAAAATCAGGTAAAAAGGCGTCAAAGACCTACATTTAAGAGCTAAAAATAAAACAGGCCTGGCCCATGTAGCTCAGTGGTTGAGCTTTGACCCAGGAATCAAGAAGCCCCCTGGCTCGATTCCCAGTCAGGGCACATGCTCGGGTTGCAGGCTCAATCCCCTGTGGTGTGTGTGCAGAAGGCAGCCAATCAATGATGTTTCTCTCTCATCGATGTTTCTATCTCTCTATCTCTCTCCCTTCCTCTCTCTCTAAAAAAATCAATAAAAACATTAAAAATACAATAAAAATAGAAGTTAGTAGAAAACACAGGAGTAAATCTTCATGACCTGGGATTTGGCAATCAATACTTAGATATGATACAAAATGTACAACAACAAAGAAAAAAATAAACAAAATGGGCTTTATCAAAATTTAATGCACCTATTTATTAAAGTAAAAGGACTATGAAGAAAGTGAAAACAATGTATAGGATGGGAAAACATATTAGTAAATCACATGTCTCATAAGGGTCCACTAGCAAATATATAAAGAACACTTAAAACAAAACAACAAAAAGCCAAACAATGCAATTAAAACATAGGCATAGGACTTGAACAGACATTTCTCAGAAAAAAAAATACACAAATGTTCAATAATCGCACGAAAAGATATTAAATATCACTAGTCATTAGGGAAATGCAAATCAAAACCTTAATGAGTTGTCACCTGACACACTAGAAAGGCTTTAATAAAACCAAAACAAAATGGAAGTAACACATTTTGCTGAGGATGTGAAGGTTGGCACCCTTGCACATTGCTTGGGGTAGGGAGTATGTATATTTATAATGGTGCAGCCATTTTGCAAAATAGTTTGGTGGCTCCTAAAGGTTGAACATATAATTAGCATATCACTCGGCAATTCATATCCTACATATGGACCCAAAGAACTGAAGCAGTTATTCAAACAGAAACTTACACACCAATATCATAGTAACTCTATTCACAATAGTCAAAGGGTGGCAACAATTCAATGTCCATAAATGGATGAATGGATAAACAAAAGGTGGTGTATACATGCAATGGAATAGAATTTAACCATATGGTATATGCTACCATGCTGATAACCTTGAAAACAGTATGCTAGGTGAAAGAAGCTACTATAAGGTCATGTATTGTATGATTTTATTTATATGAAATGTGCAGAATTAGCTAATTCATAGAGACAGAAAACAGAGCTGGGGGTCGGGGGTGGGCGAGAATGAGAAGTAACTGCTTAGTGGGCACAGTGTTCACTTCTGGGATTATGAAAACACTTTAGAAATAGAGGTGATGGCCTGGCCGGTATGTCTCATTGGTTGAGCATCAACCCACGAACCAGGAGGTCACAGATTCTGGATCAGGGCACATGCCCAGCTTTCTGGCTAAATCCCCAGTAGGGGACATGCAGGAGATAGCCATTTTTAAAAAAATATTTTTTTTTTATTATTGATAGTATTACAGATATCACCCATTTTCCCCTCCTTTACCCCCCTCCTCCCAGCCCGTACTCCCACCCCTCTGTTTTCACTACCCTATTGTTCATGTCCATGGGCTATACATATACGGATATAGATTTTTTGGTTTATCTCATCATTGATGTTTCTATCTCTCCTCTCCCTCTCTCTGAAATCAACAAAAGCATATTAAAAAAAAATAGAGTTGATGGTTGTTCAATTCTGTGAATGTATTAAATGTCACTGAATTATACACTTGAATTAAAATGGTGGATTTTATGTTATGTGAAATTTACCTTAATAAAACAAATCACTTAAATATCAGAATAATATTAAATTGTATTCCTCCAAATTTAATAATTTGTTTTCTTTTGAAGCCATTTCTATTTTACCTTAAATTATTTAGTATAATTACTAGAGACCCAGTGCATGAAAATTCATGCTCTGGGGGTTTGCGGGGGGGGGGGGGGGGGTTCCTCAGCCCTGGCATGTGTCCTCTCACAGTCTAAGAGCCCTTGGGGGGAAATCTGACTGATGGCTAAGGTGACAGTCAGCGCGCTCACTAGCCTTGAGCCTGGCTTCTGGCTGAGGAGCACACTGACGACCAGGGGGCAGCTCCTGCATTGAACATCTGCCCCCTGGTGGTCGGTGCGTGTCATAGCAACCAGTCATTCTGCAGTTTGGTCTATTTGCATATTAGCCTTTTGTTATATAGGATTTCATCTGCTGATAATTAATATTACAATGAAACTGTTTAGTATTGATAATTTTTTTCATTTTCTTTTGATCTTTTATCTTAATATGTGTATGAGAGTAACAGGGAGGTACAAGTGTGATCACTCAGCTCTAGTGCGATGGGAAGAGGAATGAGGTGAGGAGCAGGCAGAGCAGAGCCTGGGGGCAGGTGGGGTTACTTGCCTGATCCTGCAGCTGTCCTGAAGGTCAGTGGCCCATTGGGCAGGGCCTTGCTTAGCTCTCTCAGGACGTGCTCCTGGCCAGTCAGCAGGTTAGTGGCCACACAGTGCTGCTCTGAAGGAGGCAGAGTATCCAGGTCCCCCGGGGTCTCCAGCAGATTATCCACCTCCTGTATGATGTCCTGGTGGGATGGGGACACAGAACCAGTGGATCTTGTGCCAGAGAAGCTTCAGGAAGACCCTGCCCACTCAGTTTCTGAGAACAGACCCTAGAGCCTGTCTATTTGGGGACAAAGGTGGTACCGAATGAGATTTCCTGGATCTTTGCTAATGCAATCTGCCACTCAGAGGTCAACCCCTAGTCATGACTATCAAGGACAATGCAAGCCCTATGGCCAGGACAAGAAGAAAGGTGTTAGTAGGTGTACGTGGGTCTACCAGTGAGTACAAATACTTGGTCTGCTCTTCCCACCTACCCTGTGAGACTGGGGCCTCAGAGCAGGGCATCATTGTGTTGGGGTCGGTCTCCTTCCAGACAAAGGCTTCCTTGGGTCTCTATGGGATGCCTCCACCTGCCTCCCCTGGGTCCTGTCCTTACCTGGATGGTGTCCTGGGCCGAGGCAGACTTGAAGTCTCTGAGCAGGTCCTGGATTTTTTCAAAGAAGTGGGAGAGACTCTGGGGAAAGGAGATGAGGCCTTAGAGGGCCTCATGCATGGGTCGGGGAGCGTGGGGAAATGGGTGGATGGTGGGCTGAGTGGAGACACCTTGCCTTCTGGAGTCACTCACCTGGCTCTTGATTTCAGGGGGTGGGATCCAGGTGGGGAAGGAGATCTCTGCAGGGGACAGAACAGCTGTCCATTAGGGGTGTGTGTATGTGTGTGTGTGTGTGTGTGTGTGTGTGTGTGTTGGAGGCAGGGTCTAGAGCAGCCGTGGGCAAACTATGGACCGCGGGCCGGATCCGGCCCATTTGAAATGAATAAAACTATTGAAAAAAAAGACCATACCCTTTTATGTAATGATGTTTACTTTGAATTTATATTAGTTCACACAAACACTCCATCCATGCTTTTGTTCCGGCCCTTGGGTCCAGTTTAAGAACCCATTGTGGCCCTCAAGTCAAAAAGTTTGCCCACCCCTGGTCTAGGGTCAGGACCTTCTTTCACACTGAGTAGTCCTTTGTTTATTCAGGAATCTGAGCCCCTCTCCTCTCTGTGCCCCACCCACTTCCCGTGTCCAGTCCCCCTGCCCCCACGCCTTGGCTGGAGGTGATGACACCTGCTGACTGCACATCCCTGAATGGCAGTCACAGGGGTTATGGGAAGTGTGCAGAGGGCTGACCCCCAGCAGGTCAGCCCCCACAGTGGTACAGGTTGTGAGATATTAAATACCTTTGTCCCAGTTAGTAATTAGCTGCTACCTGGGGTCCCCCAGGAACTTTCCCCTTGGTGCCCCAGCTCCATCTGCAGGACCCCCAGATCTTTCCCCATTTAGTTTCAAAGAATGGAAGCCTTGTCTAGCAAGGTACGCCCAGCATTTATTCTGCTGGGTTTGTGTGGGTGCCCATGAATATGTGATCAGAAGGCTTGAGTTGTAGGTCTCTGGGAATGTGGGATCTGAACTCTGAACCTTCTTCACAGGCAGTGTTGATTTGGCCACTGGGGGACCCAGGAATTGGCTTCCAGCCAGGGCGGCAGCTGCACTTATAGCTGCCCACATTGTTGAGGCAGTGGGTGGTTTTGTGGCAGGGGTTTTGGCCCGAGATACACTCATTCACATCTGAGGACAAAGCCAGAGCATCAGGCCCTCCCTGACCCCACTTCTCATTGCCTGAGGATCCCACTGTCAGTACACATGCCACCACCTGGTGACCTTCAACTTCACCCTCAAAGCCCATTACGGTGGCCTCCCTACAAGATGGACATGGCAGGGACCATGGTCTCCAGTTTATAGTTGGCAAATCCAGGAGGGAAACTGAGTCACAGGGACTAGGTTTCTTGACCAAGGACTTCTGCCCACACCCTCCTGGGCCCTGGCCCTGGTTCCCTTCTGGGAACCAGAAGTCACCCCTCCTTCTGCTGCATGTGCTAGATGAGGAAAGGGTAAGTTCTGGGGGGTGCTCATGGAGGTACAAGGAAACCCCAGGCCCAGAAGGCCCTGCCACCGCCCTGCTCTGTGGCAGGACTTTTCAGGGAGGTGAATCCTTAGGCAGGGCCTTGGCAGGGAACCTGAGAATCTTCTCCTGCCTCCTGGGGCTGCGGGGCCTGCGTTGGCTCCTTCCCCAGCTCCATCCAGTCCATCCTCACAGTGTCCTCCCGGGGCCTCTACCTGTGCACAGCTTCGGGTCCTCTGGGTTCAGCTCAAATCCTGGTGGGCACGTGCAGGTGTAGCTGCCATGGGTGTAGACACAGTTGCTGCGGCTCTTACAGATTTTTGGGTTCAGACATTCGTCCATGTCTGCAAGGGGAAGAAGAGGGTGATGGATGCCTGCAGGTGTGGGCAGCCTTCAAGGCTGGGAGTCAGCCACGTTTCCTGCCATAGAAGCGTCTGAAGGCCCCACTGCCTCCTCCCAGGTGAGTGGTGTCTTTTCTAATTCACATGGAGGTGTCCTGTGGGTGAGCATGGTGGCCTAGATGCTCTGTTGTCCAGATGTGGCCAGAAGCGGTCCAATTCCTCTGTCTTACTCCCTCCATCTCTCCCACCCGGGCAGCTCCCAGCTAGGGCAGGGACATCACTGCCACCTGTGTCCCAGCCTGAGGACTTGGGCAAAGGCCAGGCTGGGCCTTCCTGGAACCAAGTGCTGGAGAAGTGCTGCAGGCTCTGAGCAGGCTCGTTTCGGTGGCCTTGGTCCTGACTCCCCTGGGTGGTGCTGTGGGCTGAGCTCTCCTTGGAATCCTGGTGACTCTGGTGAGACAGGGCTCTCCCATCCACACGACTTCTGAGACTCCAGCCCATGGCGATGGACCGAGAACCACCCCTGAGCCTGACCCCTCGCGGACAAGGCTTTTAGGCCGGGGCCCAGAATGTGAAAATGATGCCAGAAAGGCCAGGGCCACCTGGACAGTGGGTGCCAGGCCATGAGGGCAGTGGGGCTGACATCCAACCATGCTGTCTTGTGGTGAAGGTGCCCCTTCTGATCCCCCTGAAGGCATCCCCTGGACTGGCAGGGAGTGATGAGAATCCACATGTGAGCTTGGCCAGCGGTGGCCAAGGGCTGGGTGCCTGGAGGGGGGAGCAGCAGCTGATGGGTGAAGAGTGGCCCGTGTGTCTGTCATCTGGCTCCTTGTTCTCTCACCAGGGACACAGACCTGTGGGCCTTGCCTAGTGGGGCTGAGCTCTGTCTTCTGTAGCCCCATGGTCTGGGCCCCCATGGCACCTGGGTTGACCTCCTTGGGAGAGGATTGAGCCTGGGGCAATGGCCCCCGATGACCCCCCCTCTTGTCACCTGTCCAGGTGGGAGCCTCTTCCTTCACCCAGCTCTCAGAGCTTGGGGCTGAGTGGGGAGGTCGACGTCACCCAGTCCACCCCAACATGTAACCCATCTGGATCCAGTCATCAAGCTGCCCACAGTCCTGAGAACTGAAGTTGTGGGGGAGGGTCAGGGTGGACATTTGCTTGGGGGAATAGACGGAGGCCGAGTGGCTGAGAATTGGGGTCAGGGTATCAGGAGGCAGCTTCTCCAGCTGGGGCTGTGGGCCAGAGGCAATTTTCTTGAGGGCGTCCCTGGGCCATCATGGCCCGGGGAGTCTGGGAGGGCCTGGCATGGCTGCCCCTGTGTGGGCTCTGGTGGCATCAGGTCTCATCTCAGCAGGCACTGGCGATGGGGAAGAGGATGATATTGTTCTGGAATGAACTGCGCCATGAGCCCCCTTACTTCCCACCAGGAGGCTCTGCCATCTCCCTCTGCACACAGGGCAGGCCTGCGGACCCGGCTCAGAGCCCCCAGGATCCCCAGTTCAGCCTCCTCCTCCCCTCTCTGTGTTCTTCACTAACCCCCTCTCTGGGTGAGTCATGGCTTCTGCCTGACCACTTCTGGCTCCATCTGCCTGAGGATGTTGAAGCCCCTTCCCTGCCCACCTGCTCTCCCTGGAAAGGGGCAAAGCCTGGTGATCATGAAGGCCTGGCTCTTCTTGGGTCCCTGGGGAGGGGAGGGGCCAGGCCAGCTGTTCTGAGTAGCCACCCGGGGTACATCCCCTGAGATGTCCAACCCGGAGAGGGTGTGTTAGATCAGAATGAGTGTGGTCTAAAAGCCCAACAGCCACCACTGTGTTGTGCTCTAAGATCTCATATACTTTCCCAGCGGTTCTGTGAGGTAAGTGCCATTGTCACTCCCTTTTACAGATGGGTAAACCGAGGCACAGAGAGGTGAAGAACGTGTCCAAGGTCATACATTTAACAAAAGGAAAAGCTTCTTTTGTTTTTATCTGTGAAAGATATCCTCTCTCTCTCTCTCTCTCTCTCTTTTTTCCCCCCACAGAATCACAATAATATTATCACATCTTGCACATTACCAGTGTTTTCTGAATAAGTGTCCTGGCTGGTGCTGCATACACAGCTGTCAGGTAGCAAAACCAGGACTTGGGTCCTTGGCTCTCATGCCACCCTCCTCTCTGTGCTAGTGGGACAGGCACAGGCACACTTGTCCCACTCAGCCCTGGGGCTGCACCTATCACCAGGGCCAGGCACCCTGTATGCCACAGGAATGGCTCTGGTGACTCCAAGTCTCATGGACAGGGAGATGGAAGATGGGGGTCATTCTTACCTTGACACGTGTTCTCACTCTCATTACTGAACTTTGCTGCCCCAGAAACAAGCCTGTATCCTTGGCTGCATGTGCAGTAGTAGCTCCCCTCTGTGTTATGGCACTCTGCGACTCTTCCACAGAGAGTCCCTGGCTTGCCTTGTTCACATTCATCAATGTCTGCAACAAAACGGGATAAAGGGTCATCTCCCGAAGCCATGAGTGCCCTCAGGGCAGAGAGCCTGGTCCCATACCTAGCATGGAGCCTGATGCTCAACCAGTGTCTTTTAGGAAATAATTAGACTCAGGCAACATTGCTGTGGCTGGAGCAAGCCATTCCTGAAACCCACCAAATTGGCTCTGCTCTGCTCAGCTTTCTAACTGTCACCTGGATTTGAATACAGGACCAAGTGCTGAAGTGATGGGTGGGTGGAAGCTCTGCATCCCCCTGCCGAGTCCTGGAAGAGTAAACTGAGGCACAGATTCAAGACTCCTAGAGACCCAGCTCCTCCCTCTGTACGAAGCCATGTTTATTCACTTCTCATTTTCCACCTTCATGTCTTTTTCTTTCTCTTTTCTCTGTCCTTCATGATGGTCTGAGAACAAAGGCTGAGGCCACCAACCACCATCCCGTCTCCATGTAGCCCTCCACCACCCCAAGCCTCTGTACCTTCACAAGTTTCCCCGTGGTTAATGATGAGCTTCCCAGATGAAGATTTGAATCCCTGATCACAGCGACAGGCAGTGCCATTTAAACATGTGGAGTTTGCAGGGCACGGCCGGCGGCGACAGGCAGAGGCTGTGGGACGGAGACCATGGTCAGAAGATTAGGGCTGAGCCAGAGGCTGGGGAGGGGTGTTGGGAGGGGCAACCCTGAGCTTCCTCCTGCAACAGGCCTTTCTCTGGCTGGGCTGAGAGGTGAGGTGGGGGTTGGGACTCTGGCTGGGGACTGAGTTACTCCCAGCAGACTCACCCCTGGTGCTCTGGGGTCCATCTTCCAACAGAATCAGCAGGACACACAGCGCTGGAACAGAGAGAGGGAGGGTCAGGGGGCACACAGAACAGGGAAGGGAGGCCTGAGGGTGACACATCTGATGGAAGGGGCTGCTCACCCCTCCCAGGCTCAGGCTCTGTCCATTACTCAAGGAGAGAGTGGGCAGGTGGCACCTCCCTGGTCCCCAGTGCCCATGGCCAGAGGGTCTGTACCCATCGCCTGACGGTGGCTTTCAGGAACTGAAGGATGGGGAGGGGCCTGAGCCTGCCAGGGGTCTTGGCTTCTGCTGACCTGTGAGTAGCAGTTCAGGGAACATACTGGAGCCAATTGGCCTTGGTTCGACTCCTAAACTTTGATCAGGTACCTCAGTTCCTCAGTTTCCCCTTCTGTAGGATGGGGATGAAGAGGAGACCCATTTCCTAGAGTATGAGAGTTAAGCAGACAAGTACTGCCTGGTGTGTCAGAGTGCTTACTGTCGTCATTTCTTTATGTAAAAATGAAGGGGTTGGGCCAGGTGTCCTCTCAGAACTCCCAAATCGAAGGTGCTCCAGCCCACACCCTTCCTCAGGGACACAGGTGCAAGCACACTGCACCCACATCTGTCCACCACAATGACCAGCTTGGGACCCAGTGGTGACATTTCACACCCTGGCTCCCCGCACACAGGAAGATGCTGGGGGCTCATGTTAGGGGTGGTGCTGCACGGGCCCCCCAATCTTGCTCTGGCTGCTGTTCAGGGCACCCCATCCCAGGGCACATCTTGGGGGTTCTCCTTAAGTCACTAGGGAGTCTAGAGATGAGGACCTGTTCATCACAGAGACAGATAAGGAGACGGATGGAGAGAAAAATAAAGAGGCAGAGAGAGACAGAAAGAAAGACATAGAAGGCACTAGACTAGAAACTTAGAAGAAAGAGGAGAAAAAGGTGGAGAGAAAATGAAGAAATGAGAGAGAAACAGAATACACAGAAATGGAGAGAGAGAGGCAGGGTTAAGAAGACAGTGATCTAGAGAGATGGACAGAGAAATAGGGAACTCCTAGGAAGGGAGAGACACAGATGCCAGAGATTAGAGAGAAAGATGTGGAGAGATAGAGAGACTGAGAGCCAGATAGAGAAACAGAAGGGGAAGGGTGGGAGGGAGTGAGGAAGGGCGGGCTCCTGGGCAGCATGTGGGGTGTGGGGAGGGCTTGAGAGATCCATCCAGTCCCTGAAGATCTAAAGATGCTGGGGAGGCAGCCCAGACCCAGATAATCCAGGGAGACCAGATGGGGGCAGCGGGTGGAGGGATGGGGGCCAGGGAGGCAGGCAGGAGAGAGTCACTTCCTGGGCCAAATGAAAGGACAACTCATGACTCCCATTCCCCCATGGAGGGGCTCCCAGTTCCCCATGGAGGGGCTCCCAGTTCCTCAGGGAGGGGCTTCCAGGGGAATTTTGGGGTTGGTCATTGTGAGCACAACTTGAGGAACTGTGGAGGGTGCAGACTAGAGGGCCCCCTGAGCACTCAGTCCCAATGTCCAAACTTGATACCCCTCAGGCCAGCAGAGGGCAAAGATGCCCACACCCTTCCTGAAGCCCTCTTAAATTCAGTAAACTGAGTCTGGAATTCCTGCCTTCCTCCTCTCTAGCCACAGGGTTTGGTTAGTTCTCTTTTTGGTGCAAACCCACTTCCTCTTTGTAGGACAGACCAAAAATGACCTTCCCTGGTGGGTCCTGGATTGATTGGTCCCCAGCTCCCAAAGCCCCAGTAGCACCGTCCATGCTCACAACTGCCCCAGGAGACAGAGGCTCTGTTTATGCCCACTCTGCAGATGGACAAACTGAGGCTCAGAGCCCAGAAAAGGCTTATGGAGAAACTGGTGAAGAGGGGGCTGGGGAAGATGGAAGTGAGGGGTCAAGTTCCCCAGACCCTGCAGGGATGGGGTTCTCTGTGCTGAGCTGGGCTTTCCTGCCCCACCACAGAGGCTGCTGGGCCAGACCTCCACCTGGGGTCCAGGAAGCCACCCAAACAGGAGCCTGGAGAGGGGTGCCTGGCCCTGCTCCCAGTCCCATCTGGTTTGCATTCCCCTAGCTGAGCCCTGAACAGTCAGATTCTTGCCTGGGGCCCCTGTGGCAGGGGTGGGGCAGTCATTCTCTCCTTACCCCTCCTGCTAAGGATCCCTCCCTCCAGCCCATCCCCCAGACCTACCAGTGAAATAATAATAATAGTAACATTAACAACAACAACAATAATAATGTTACTTAATTCTCACTGTGAATAAGGACTCAACCCTTAACACAAGCCTGTAAAGTGGAGACCAGTCTTGCTCTGCCCCATTTCACAGACATGGAAAGTGAGGATCAGGGGCTCTGTGACTTGGCCCCTGACACATCGCCGCCTTCAGCTGTGCTCCACACGGACTCAGCAAATTTACTAAAAATCATCTAATTGTAATCATGCAACAGGCGAATTACATGCTATGTAAATTACACCTCACCTTCATAAAGCTATAAAAAACAGCTCACGCCTGGCACCCTGGGCCAGCACAGGGAGCCCCATCTCTGTGGCCTGGGGAAGTTCTGAGTGGCACCCAAATGTCATTTCTTAACTCTCTTTGTTGCCTGGTTGCCCAGGCAATGAGCTGCCCTGATAAACCGATAACCGATAACGGTTAGAGCCACCCTTGGTGGGGCGGGAAGGGAGGCAAGGGGGAAGTCACAGCAGAGCTTAGGTTCAACCCACAGCAGCAAAGCCCTTCAAGGCACAGCCTAGTCCCTGCTGCGTCTCCGGGCTTCCCCTGCCACACAATGGGAGAAGTGTGGGGGTCACCCTGCTGTGGAAGGGTCCCCCTTAGCTTCCTAGCCCCCTCTCTGCCATCTGTTACGAGTGACTTCCTGAGGGGGTCACAGCACTCATTCGCCCCCTCTCTTCCACCTGCTTCAGTTTCCCCTCTTAGGGAGCAGCTTCCAAAGTGGATTTTGAAGGAGCGTGGAGATCCCTCTGGGGGTGGGGAACAGACCCTTAGAGCACCTGGGGGTTCCTGCCCAGGCATGAAGGTACCCGGGCACTGACAACTGCTCTCCCATGTGCCATGGCTCCCGCCTAACCATGTGGCTTCCTCCATGTCAGGCCCCAGAGCTGCCAGAGGTGCCTCCTATTTCTCCTTGGTGGGGGTGGTGTGGGGAGACTGGAAAATGGAGGCACCAAAGGGGTGTTACCAGGGGCTCCCTTACCCCTCCCAGAGGGTCCCCAAATTCTCACCATGTAGGATGTGAAAGGCGATGAGGCGGGGACCTCCCATGGTCTGGGCAGGGCGGTTCTGTATTCACAGGCTGTGTAGCTGTGCATAGTTCTGTGGCCTCTTGGCCCTTATACAGTGTGTGAATGGCCCAGAACTGGTGGGGCAGCTGGAAGCCAACAGGAAGTGAGTGAAAACACAGATGGGGGAGGGGGGTGGCAAAAGCACCCCCCCCCCGCCCCCCCTGCCCACACACACACCACAGTGGAGTGATCTGCAGGGAATGGACAGTGGTTTCCTGAGGAGCGTGAACCTGTAGTTTCCAGGTAAAGCTGCCCAGATGATCATTCTTATGTCTGGCTTTCCCTTTGTTCTTTCTATGATTAATATTAACTCGTTAATTAGGACAATAACACAATGTGGTTACTTTATGTCTCTGAATTTGTAAGACCTGCCATGCAGGCCTCCCTGAGCTTGTCAAGTTTAGCATGTAGCCCCTTTTTGGTCCACACTTCACAATGACCCAAGGGTGCCTGGGACTGCCTGAGTCAAGGCACATCCTTCCTCACTCAGTGTAAACGTCCAATGGTGCAGAGAACTCTGCAAGCTCTGCCCTGTCACCTCCCTGCCCTCATCCCCCTCCTCAGCCCCCTTAGTCACTTGGTTACTGTATTCCTTGTGGAAAACAGCAGGGACGCTTGACCTCAGTGTCTGACCTTTGCAAGGGTGGCTATCTCTGCCTGGAGCACCTGGCCCTGATAACCTTCTGGCTCCCTCCCTCCTGTCCTTCATGTCTTTGCTTAAACATTCCCTGACCTATCTCCCAAGTCTGATACGTAATCCTCCCCCATCTGCAGCAACCCGATTGCTCCCCACTTTGCCCATTCTCTGTAGCACCTCATCAGACCCCATCATGGAACTTACCTGCTTCCCTGTTTACTGTCTGCCCTCTACCCCACAGACTGTGAGCCCTGAGGGCAGGACTTTGACCCCTTTGTGTCTCTGCACCTTGCAGGTCCCAGTGAGTGATCCCACCCCTGCTGCTGCCCCCACTGAAGGAAACCCCCTTGGGCTTCCTGATCTGGCCCCACTGGAGTATCAACGTTACTTCCCCTCCTTCCTTGAAGTTCCAGCCCCGCTGGGCAGCAGCCCCACCTCCTATCACTGCCACTGGTCACCCTCTGTGGGTTAATCAGCGGGGCTATCGTGTCTGGCTTGCACCTGCCTTGGCCTGGCACCGCCCACTCACCTGCTCCACCATCCCACTGCGGTCTTGCTCTTGTCAGGGCTCTTTGATGCCCCAGCAGTGCCTTCACTGCCACCGGCTACCAGCATTGCATCGCCAACGCCCACCATGTTCCACGCCACCCCCTGGTGGTCAGTGCACAACATAGCCAACAGTCAAACTCTAGGTCGAACTCCCGATTGAGGGGACCATTTGCATATTAGGCTTTTATTATATAGGATTATATTATATTATTTTCATTATCACAGCTGCAACAGGAACAAATCTCATAGTGGCTAATAGTCACCCAGCACTTACTACATGCCTGGCCCTCTTCCAAGCACTTCTACTCACTTATCTTCCCAGGAGCGCTAGAAGGCAGGTGCTGTGATTTGCATTAGATAGATGGAGAAACTGAGGCACAAAGTGATGAAATGACTTGCACAGTCACAGGGCAGTCCCCCTTCCCACCTCCCATCTCCCATCAGAGGTCCCGGGCAAAACCCTCCTCTTCCACTTTTGGACCGTGTGGCTTCAGGCTGGTTACGTGACTTCTCTGGGCCTCAGTTTCTCCGTCTGTGAAATGGTCAGAACCTCGGCGAGCACAGGTGAGGGTCGTAGGGGAGTGACAAGTTGCAGGGGCTCAGAGTGGATGTTATGTGCTGGAAACCCAGCAGTTAGGATGGCCGTCTTCTCTGCAACACCCTCTGCTGTGCGGAAGACGAGGGGACCTCAATGTCCTGCCCCCCTTCTGGTGCCACCAGCCCATGCCCAGCACCCTTCCAATCCCCAGGAGAGGAGGGGTCAAATGGGGTCTCTGGATAGAGGGGGGTGTAACAGGAAGCCCCCTGCCTGGGACACAGTGGCAGAGGAAGGGGCCAGCCATCCCCACATGGATGAGCCCAGCTGCTGGCTCCAGGAGCAGGATGCCCCAGAGAGTGAGGAAAGAGGATGGGGGGCTGCTGGCCAGTCCTGACCCCAGAATCAGGGTCAGGCAGGACAATGGGCCCTTTGTCTCCTCCTGAGGACTGGACACCTGGGTTCCCCCCAGGCTAGGCTTTCAGAGTCCCCTTAACCAGATACTCCTGGTCAGACCCTGCCCAGCCCCAGCTGGCATCCTCCTGAGCCCTGACCCCCACCCAGCCCAGCCCAGCCCAGGGAGTTGGGAGGCAGCGCTGAGCTGGGCCATATTTATAATTCCCTGGCACTGCTGAGGGAACTCCTAAATATAGGGTGTCCCCTAAAATGTATACACACACTTTAAATAATTATAAAGGCAGTGTTCATTAAAATACATTTCATTTTTAAAATTGAGCTGTCATATGTTCAACTGTGTATACATTATTTTGGGACACCCTGTATAGAAGCCCAGGTATTTGGGGCCTTGGCTTGGGGCAGAGTGTGGGTGTGGGCACCGCATGTGTGCCTCCTGGTCTGGGTCCCCAAGACTTGCCCGGGCTTCTAAGTTTCTGGGATTGGGACTGAGGGAGTCTTGGGGTGGAGGGTGTGGAGTATGTCTACTTGAATGTGGACATAGATGGAGATTAGGTGGTGGAGCCCAAAGTGATGAGAGACAAGAGGCTGTGATGCCTTAGGGGGGAACACATTTCTATCTACTTCACCCCAAGCCCCTTGGCCCCAATCAATCTTTATTGATTTCAGAGAGGAAGGGAGAGGGAGAGAGAGATAAAAACTACAAAATGGGGTTGAGCTGTCATCCCTGAATGTTCTCTGCTTCCAGGAAATGAGGGACTCAGGAAGCTGCAGGGACACCCCCAAAATCCAAACAAACCCCAGCTCCTAGCAACCCAATTACCCTTCTCTATCAATTCTAAGCTCACTGGGGACTGGGATGGGGCTTGGGACATGGGCTGGGGGTGGGGTTGGGTTATAAGCAGCTGCAAGACATCTGTGAAACAGGTGTCCCCCCTTAGGTGGAGCATGGAGGTCTCCTAAAGGCACAGCTGGATCTCAGAATGTCCCCAGCTTCAAAACCTCCCAGCCATCTCCAATATTTAGGGAAGTAAGAGCCAACTGAAGGGGAAGTTATTTATTTATTTTAAAAATATATATTTTATTGATTTTTTACAGAGAGGAAGGGAGAGGGATAGAGAGTTAGAAACATCGATGAGAGAGAAACATCGATCAGCTGCCTCCTGCACACTCCCCACTGGGGATGTGCCCGCAACCAAGGTACATGCCCTTGACCGGAATCAAACCTGGGATCCTTGAGTCCACAGGCCGATGCTCTATCCACTGAGCAAAACCCGTTAGGGCAGAAGGGTAAGTTATTTAAAAGGGACAACACCAATGATCTTTCAATATCTTTTTTAAAAATATGTTTTTATTGATTTCAGAGAGGAAGGGAGAGGGATAAAGAGATAGAAACTACAATGATGAGAGAGAATCATCAATTGACTGCCTCTTACATGAGCCCTACTGAGGATCAAGCTCTCAACCTGGGCATGTGCCAGGACCAGGAATCGAACCGTGGCCTCCTGGTTCATAACCTGATGCTCAGTCACTGAGCTACATCGTCTGGGCATACCAATGATCTTTAAAGCAGCCTAGGAGCATGATGGCCATTAAGACTTAATGGAACCGTAATGCTCGCTCAGCCACTGGATAGAGTGGATTGGAATATTACACAACAGTGAAAAAGAACCACAGGGGCAGGCAATGAGCTGGCTGAGTCTTAGTAACATACTCCTGTCTCGATTTTAAACACTGAGTGATGTACAAACATGGTAATTTGCTTGATGGATTTTATAGTAGAATCTTATTTTTTAGCTTTATTGAGTTACAATTGGTAAGTAAAATTAAAATATATTTAAAAGCATGACCTAATAATTTGGTTGTAGTAGAATCTTGAACAAAAAGAAGCTCCCAGAGCCCCATACAAAAGCCACCTTTGTCATAAAGTTCAGACACAGAGAAAATGAAACAAGATTTTGGCATATAGATGTGCAAGAAAACAAACAAAAAAAATGAGAGAATAAGAAACAGAATTTGAGGTGGTGGAGGGAGAGAGCAGGGTCATGTCCCAGTTCTTGGTGGGGGGTAAATGGAGGGGGCCCTTATAGGATTAAAAATAAATAAATAAACTAAAGCTGGTCATGGGAAATTGATTCTGTGAACCTGAGACCCTGTAACACTCTTTTTGGAATTTTTAAAACGTTTTAAGTCTCTAATGAGAAGTGGTTAGAAAGTGGCATTGAGGAAGCACAGGAAGGAAAGATGGAAAGAGGTGCCCAGGGTGTGGGTGGCCAGAGGAGGGAGGCCCAGCTGGGGAAGGGGATCAGCTGGGGGAGGGGGGAGGGGGCAGTGGAGGAACTGACAGAGGCCAACAGGAAGCTGTGCAGTGCGGAGCTGGCAACACTCAGTGCTGTTTGGTCTCTTTCTTGAAGCTCGCAGCCTCTTCCCCATTCTGCAAGGGCTCCTGGGAGTGGCGGGCTGGGGGCTGGCAGTGCCCAGTGACGATGGGCTCCCACCTCCCAGGGACCCTACAAGAGGGTCCTAGAATGTGGGCCAGGGTGGGGAAGGAAGAGGTTTAGGCTGAGTGCCCAGGTCAACCTCTCTTTGTGCCTCAGTTTCCCCAGGTGGACTCCCCCTCTATCACAGGTTTTTGGGGTCTTGGGCAATGGTGTTGATGGTCATGACCAGTCTCAGAAAGAAATTTTGTATTCTGAGAGCCAGGGGCTTCAGTAAGAGTAAACCCATCCCCAGCACTCTATCAGATTGGGGTCCACTTCACCAGTTGTATATAACATTTTGGCACTTCCTTAAAAAGTTAAACAGAGTTCCCCTATGACCTAGCAACTCAACTCTTGGGTAAATACCAGAAAGAATCTGAGAGCAAGGACTCCAACAAATACTTGTACACCATGTTCATTGCAGTGAGGGTC